CAAATTAGCTATGTTCCATGACCTGGCAAGTGATCGGCCTTCAACATCCTTCAGCGAGTACGCTCCTCCTGCGTGCACTCGCTCGACCAAGTATGGTCCTTCCCAGTTTGGCTCCAGCTTTCCCACATGTTTGAGCACGTCGACGCGCTTCCATACCAGGTCTCCCACTTGGAGTCTGCAAATTTTCACTTTTTTGTCGTGAGTAGCTCGCATCCTCTGTTTGTATGCCTCGACCCTGATTGCTGCTCTCCCCCGCAGCTCCTCGATAGTGTCCAGAGCGACCATCATTAGATCTTCGTTCTGCTCGATATTATACACGCTTAACCTCTGAGATGATAGCTTGACTTCAACCGGCAGTAATGCTTCCATTCCATAAGTTCAGCTGAAAGGGGTTTCTCCTGTTGTCGATCTCGGGGTGGTGCGATATGCCCAAAGCACCGAGCTCAACTCATCGACCCATGCTCTTGAGGCCTTTTCCAGCTTCGTTTTCAGCCCATTCAGTATGATCCGATTGGTTACCTCGACCTGGCCATTGGCTTGCGGGTGAGCAACGGAGGCACAGTGTTGTTCCATTTTCATGTCTTCGCACCACGCTCGAATCCGCTTACCGTTAAATTGAGTACCGTTGTCAGAGATCAACACCTTGGGTATGCCGAACCGACAGCAGATGTTGTTGTATAAAATTTAATTACTTTCTCTTCCGTAATCTTTGCTAAAGGCTCGGCTTCCACCCATTTTGTGAAATAATCGACCGCCACTATTAAGAACTTCCTTTGCCCGGTTCCCTAGGGCATCGGCCCCACCAGGTCGATACCCCACTGGGCGAATGGTATAAGGGCACTCATCGTTATCATCGCCTCTGCTGGTTGGTGAATAAGAGGACCGTGTTTTTGGCATAGCAGGCACTTCTTCACCATTGCTTTCGCATCTTCCCTCATAGTCGGCCAGAAATATCGTGCCCTCAAAATCCTTGCGACCAACCCCTGACTTACTGTGGTCACCACTGCATCCTTCGTGCATCTCTCTCAGCACATATCGACCCTCTTCCTTAGTAACACACCGCAGATGTGGTCCCCCGTACGACCGTTTGTAGATGATACCTCCCTGTTCAAAAAACCTCCTCACCACTTTTATCGTTCCTTCTTTCAGCTCCTCCAAAATTGGGGCCCTCCAATCCTCCACTTCTTCAATTTCGGCCACTTCTGCCTCGACCGCACTCTTTTCGAGATGAAATAAAGTGACACTCCTGCTCTTACAATCCACCAAGCTCTGAGCGATCTTTGATAACAGGTCTGCCCGACCATTTTCTCCTTGAGGAATTTGTATTAGCTCAAATGAATCGAACTCCTCCTTCAACCTTCTTATCTCGTTTACATACTTTTGCATCCGATCCTCCTTGACTTCAAACCCTTCCTGAAATTGCCCAACGACCAGTTGGGAATCAAATGCACTTGTACTTTTCGAGCTCCTCCTGCCTTGGCTAAACTCAGGCCTTTGATCACAGCTTCGTACTCGGCCTCATTATTGGATATTTTGAACCGCACTTTGGCTACAAATTCTAAGTAATCGCCCTTAGGGGAAATCAAGACAATTCCCAATCCTGCTCCGCTTCGGGCCACAGATCCATCCACAAATAACTGCCATAATCCTCCCGACTCCTTTTCCACTTTCGTGCCCTCTTGGATAAAATCGGCCAACACCTGCGCCTTTATGGCCCTCCTCGGCTCGTACAACAGAGAATATTCGCTCAACTCGACCGCCCATTTCACCAACCGACCAGAGACCGATGGTCGGCCGAGTGTTTCTCCCAGCGGCATGTTTGTCCGCACCTTCACCTTATGATTCAGAAAATAGGGTCTCAATTTTGAGCAGTTACGACCACTGCCAAAGCACACTTCTCGATCTCCGAGTACCTCATTTCCGCCCCTTGCACTACCCTGCTCACATATTAGATAGAAAATTGTGCTACTTCTTCCTCTCGTAACAACACCGAGCTCACCGCCCTCTCTCTATAGAAACATATAGTACCAACTCCTCGCCCTGTACGGGTTTAGCCAATAGGGGAAGGTTGGCCAATACCTCTTGCAACTTCTCGAAGGCCCCCTGCGCCTCCTCTGTCCACTGGAACTTTGCATTTTTCTTCAATGTTTTGAATAATGGGCCACCCTTCTCCGCCACCTTCGATATGAAACGACTTAGCCCCGCAATTCGACCAGCTAAGATCTGCACCTCCTTCACATTCGTCGGCAACTTCATCTCCATTACAGCTCGAACCTTCTCAGGATTCACCTCGATGCCTCTCTTGGTCACCAAGTAACCCAAGAATTTCCCCGATCTCACCCCAAAAGAGCACTTAGCCGGATTCAATCTCATCCCACCCCTCCGCAACGTTAGGAATGTTTCTCTCAAGTCTCGCACATGATCCAACTCCTCCTTGCTTTTCACCAGCATGTCGTCCACGTATACCTCCATGTTCCTCCCTAGTTGCTCCTTAAAAATCTTATCGACCAACCTTTGATATGTGGCACCCGCATTCTTTAAACCGAACAACATGACCACGTAACAATAGGTTCCTCGGTTTGTCACAAAACTCACCCGCTTCCTGTCTTTCCTCGCCAAGGGAATCTGATGATATCCTTGAGAGGCATTCATCAAGCTCAGCAATGCACGCCCTGCCGTTGAGTCGACCAGCTGGTCGATTCGGGGCAGCGGGTAAAGATCTTTTGGGCACGCTTTGTTCAGATCACGGAAATCAATGCACACCCTCCATTTTCCCTCCGACTTTGACACCATCACAGTATTTGACAACCATTCGGGGAACTGGATTTCCTTGATATGCCCTGCCCCCAACAGCTTCTCGACCTCCTTCTCAATGATTTTGTCCATCTCCGCCCCATGGTGCCTTCTTTTCTGCTTCACCGACCTTACACAGAGGTCGATATTCAGTCGATGTTCGATCACTTCCACACTTATCCCCGTCAGCTCTTTCGCTGTGTAAGCGAAAATGTCGGCGAACTCCCTGACTAAAACAATAAGCCTCGACCGGATAGGCTCCTCTAAGTCTTTTCCAATCCTGAACTTTCTCTCCTCGCATCCCTCGATCATCTGAATCTCCTCAACCTCCCCTCCTGGCTGAATATCCATCTCCTCCTTACCCTTCTCCACCCTCTGTTTGTCCTCTTTCGACCTTGACCCCCCTGGTCGATTAAACCCCTCTTCCTCTGACTTGGCCTGCTTCTTTGCCATCTGCTTATTGTTGCTCACTGTCGTTTGGTAACAGCTCCTCGAAGTAAGCTGGTCCCCGGCAATCTCCCCTACGTTTTCGCCCACTGGATATTTGATCGTCATGTGGTACATGGATACGACCGCCTGGAATGCGTTCAAGCTTGTCCGCCCCATAATGATGTTATAAGATGACTCAGATCCTACGAGCACAAACCTCACCATGCGCACCTTCCTCAGTTCTCCCACTCCCAGCGCTACCGGCAAACTCACCTCGCCCATCGGCATCACCTCTCCTCCATTAAAGCCATAGAGTGTCGTGGTCACCGGTTTCAACTCCGTATTCAACTCCTTGTTAATTTGTACGAAACAGTCATAGAACATCACATCCACCGAGCTCCCAGTATCAATGAACACCCTTTTCACATCGAAACCCGCGACCTCTGTTGTTATCACTAAAGAATCATTGTGCGGCAGGACCACCCCTTTGCCATCCTCCGCCTTAAAACTTATTATTGGCATGCAGGCCGTAATTCCCACCTCCTCTCTCTTCCTCTTCACAGCTCGAGCATGCTCCTTCCTTTCCCTATTCGAGTCGCCATCCGTTGGGCCACCAGAAATCATGTAAATCGTCCCCCTCTTCATCGGGGCTTCTCCTCCATGCCCCCCTTTATCATCATCCCTCCTTGGCTTCTTTCCTCGACCTCCTCGACCATCTCCTTCCTCCTCTCTATCACTCTTTTCCTCCGAGTCCTCCCTACACCTTCTCCTCCCTTTCCCTTTCGCCCTATCATGATACACGAACTCCTTCAAATATCCTACTCGAATCAGCCTTTCAATCTCATCTTTCAAATGCCTGCAGTTCTCCGTGGTGTGACCATAATCTCGGTGAAATCAACAGTAAATATCCGACCTAGGTCGAATTGGGCCCGTAAACCTCGTCTTCAGCCAAGTCACATCCTCGCTCGGCATCTTCTGCTCCATGGCCTCGAGGTCCTCTGTCATGTCTTTTCTTAGGGGCGTGAAGGTGTGGTATCTCTGCCTCTCGAACAACATCGGCCTTCTCTGCCATTCATCTCTCTTCTCCCTCTTCGAATCTCGACTTTCTCTCCGAGGTGACGCCCTCTTCTGCCTACTCTGCTTGGGCGAACTTCTCCTCGGCGATCTCCCCAGTTGTGGGCTTTTCTCCTTTTTTGGCTCTGGTCGAGCTACCCCCTCCAGCTTTGCAAACTCCATCTCCATTTCTTCTAAATTAATATACTTCCTGCACCACTTCAGAACATCGTCATATGATCGAGCAGGGGTCTTGGCCAGGGAAGTTCGACAAGGCCCCGCTCGGAGACTCCTTATCAATCCACCTGCCTTCACCTCGTCTGAAGCCGAGTGCACCTTTAAACACGTTTGGTTATATCGAGCAACATACTTCCTCAGTGACTTCTTCTCCCTCTGCCTCATTGCCATCAAAGTCAAATACGTTTCCTGCACCACCGCGCTCAAGCATTGATTAATAAGCTTGCCAGTAAAGTCCTCAAAGCTCGCGACTGACCCAGGGGGAAGCTGATGAAACCAATCGAGCGCTCCTCCACGTAGGGTCGATAAAAATGCCCTGCAACAAACAGAATCAAAATATCCATGCAACACCGCCATATTTTCGAAGGTCCTCACATGTCTCGACGGGTCAGATGACCCATCATACACCAAGTTGGTCTTCTTGAAATTATTTAGCAAAGGAGCAGCGAGAATCTCCCTCGAAAAGGAGTGTCCTCGAGCTCTCCTCTCTGGTCTACCCTCCACCTTGTCCTGCAACTGGCGCAACTGCTCCGCCATCCTCTCCATCGCCCGATCCCTTCCAGCTCCTCCTTCTCCATAACTAGACACATCCTCATCCTGGCTTCCGGCCACCGTGGTCGGCACAGTGGTGGCATGAGATGTATGACTCGCGACTTGTTGCACCGCCTGTGC